CTTTCGATGTCAATGCATTTTACAAGCGGCACAAACTCTTGCGTCAAAGTTCATCACTGTCAGATTTAAATTCACATTTGAATCCTGTGATGAAACTTATTGATAATCGACAACATGTTGCGTTAAAATGCTTGTGTGAGGAAGATTTGATGTGAGGAGGATGTTGAAATACAGTCCTGACTTGATAATCCGACCCTTAACAATCCAAGACTTTGCTATCCGACAGATTTTCAGGAAAAACAAACAGAACCCATTAAAAACAGCCTTAACATACCGACAGCCGACATGACATTTTATGTCACAAATCAGGATAACGGCGTATTATCTGACTGAACAATCCCACAGATTGGCTACGTTCAGACTGCAGGACTTGATGCTCAATGAGGATTTTTTTGTGAGTTTGTTCACATTTCCAGTTAAACACGACTTGTATGTGATCTGCTGTGTGAACTTCATACGACCCAAAAGTTCCCGCATGCGCAGAAGAGGACACGACGACGTCACACGTAGTGAGCGTGCTCAGTGTTTACGGAAGTAAACATGGATGGTAACGGTGGAGAGTATCCGCCACTCCCCCGCCGCCACTGATGGTGGAAACAGAACTGTGACCGCTAATTAAACTGGCATCTGCAATGCGTTCCGGCCACTCCCACCCCATTGTAGCACTCCCACCCCATTGTAGCGCTCCCCCGGGGTGGAAGTGGCCGGAACGTGCACAAGCGCACCGGTCAATTAGGCGTGAAATCCAGCGATGCGTAGTGTTCTAACAATATTATTATAACAACTATAAACAATGAATATTAACAACTAATGATCCTTCCAGCATCAAGCCCTCCTTGTATCTCGACCTCCGTCTTGACAATCCGACAGCCTTGCTATCCGACATAAAAGAAGGCTTATTGTCGGATTATCGAGTCATGACTGTGTATTGATATCTGCATGTGTTGCGTGATACAAAACCAGTGATGTAAAAATATAGTGATTTTACAAATTAATTAATAAGTGAGGAAGTAAGTGAATAAAGGGATCAGTAGATGATGTGATTACTTCTCTACTTCCAGGGAGTATTATTTCTTATCACATCTCTGTTAATAGCACCAATAACGTGAAGCTCGGACTCTAGATTTCTCTCTTTCTCTGTTTTGAACTATTCTACACACATTTAGCGCATTCACGTGCCAGAAATATTCACCGCTCAGCTCTGACCGGGCAGAGGTAAAGAAGTCATCAGTGAGCAACGGGAACTCAGCCGTAATGAGCGACGGTGCCGCCGAAAACGACGAGGAACGAGAGTAATGAAGTGTGGTTCATATCCCTGCTCATCTGTGGAAGAAGAAAAAGGGAAGAAAAGAAGAAAACAGCAGCGACTGGTGGCGCGAGCTCCATGCCACCTCGTTTTAACAGTGACTCATTTCCCAATCAGCATCTGTAGGCGGGTGGAGAGAAGGAAAAAGGAGAAAACACTTCCTGACTTTGATTGGCTTTGAACAAGCCCACATCGGACGCTGTAATTGGCTTAGCGGAGCTTGAAAGTGAGCTGACAAGCTGCTTTGTGGACTCTTCAGGGTGTTTGGATAATAATTCCTCACTAATAACTCCGTTTTCATTAGCGAGGGGGAGACACAGTCCAACTTCACTTTCTGATGGACTTCAGACTGTTTTTTATTCCCTCTCTTTGTCCGTCTTTAGTTCTTCTTTCCTTCTCTCCGTGCATTTGATCTTTTCTTTTAATCTCCTTTGCTGTTGTAAAATGTTGCAAGAACCACATGCATTTCTTCTGTCCCTCTTTGCCTTCTGTCTTGCCTTTCTTTCCGTCCTTCTTTATTTCCTGCTCATTTTCCTTTCTTTGTCGCCTTTTCTTTCTCCGTCAGTTTTTAATCCAATTTAATCAGCTTTCATGGACATGACAGACTGTCTGTGTTCTTCTGCCAGATCCTGCAACAACAAAAATGATGAATTCAGAAAAATAAGATGTGTTTTTTTTTTCACTGCCGCTCTACCTTGTTTTTCTTTCAGACGTGAACGACAACGTCCCTTTCTTCCTGTCGTCCACCTACGAGGCGACGGTTCCCGAAGGAGCCCAGATCGGCACGTCGGTGGCTCAGGTGTCGGCCACGGACCTGGACTCCGGTTTGCACGGGATGGTGAGATGCAGCTGCACCGATGACCTTTTGCTTCCTCGCCTTCTTCTGCTTCAACTCTTCTCTTTCTGGGTGTTTCAGGTCCACTACGTGATCCTGAAGGACGAAAGCGGCGATTCTCAGTTCTTCAGCATCGACTCGCGCAGCGGCGTCATCGTCACTCGAGCCTCTTTCGACCGCGAGCAGAAAGCTTCCTACCTGATCGAGGTGCAGTCGCAGGACGGCTCGGAGTCGGCTCGACCGGGCCAGCAGGGCCAGCCCAACACAGGTAACGCACCTCTGGTCACTGTGCAGCGCTTCAATCACTCTGTGTGTGACTAAAACACAAGAGATTCAGCACAAAAACCATCACAGTAATAAGCATGGATATAATCCTACATCAGTTCGTACAAAATGTGTCTTTCAGCCTTTTGATGGTTGAGAAACATGAATTGGAATCAGCAGGAATATGCTCCTAATTGGAAAAACAAGACAATAATATAATCATCAAATCCTCTCCTGTTTCATAATGTGTTCTAGCAATTAATAATTAATTAGTATTGAAACAGAGAAGAGAAAATGAGCGAAGCAGCAATCTGGTGCCATTTTTTTTTTTTTTGTACTGATGGAATTAATACTGTGGAGATACTGTATGCATTAGAATTAATTTCCATGTCTTCATATGTTCAGATTGGATTTTATTTGAGATTCAGTGATTATTTACGGTATTTTTTTGAATTTTTATGTAATTATAGTGTGCATTTTAAACTGTTTGTGGTTAGTAAGCAGTACTTTAATGGAAGACTGTCAGCATGCACATCCAAATAACACATGTGTACGTAAGTTCTCAAGCACATAGAGGACATGAAGGCTGGTTTCACATCTCACCTCTAAAAATGGACCCTAAGAAAAGGGATCGCTGTTGCTCAGCAGATGAATCATCCAATAAGTAGTTGAACCCATCCGATAGAAGCTCACTGCCATCAATGTGTGTGAATCAGGCTCTTGATTTTGATTCAGTTTTACTTTATTAACCCTTTGAACCCTAAAACCTGCCGTCTAGTGTTGAAAAATCACCAAATTACACCATTCATCAGACCTACAAGCTACAAAAACATCTAAAAGTGTCGGATTTTCAACTTTCTAATTGTTCTTTAAGAGGTCGTCTGAGAAAATG